ATTACCAAAGGAGATTGTCTCTTAGGGACTATATTGTTATTTTGTGCATTTGTGCTATACCCTGCCCTTAAATAATGAAGAACATTTACTCCTGAGCTATTCCATACTACAAAATCTCACTCAGGATTTGATAATTTACTAGTAGCTTGCTCTAAATAAGATGATTCATTTATAGGCTGATTTTCTGCTTCTACTATTAATTTTCAAATATTGATATCTCCAAGGAAAACAAAAGATTGTTTACTAAAGAGGAAAATGCATTATGACTTCCAAATTAATTGGTAGGAATAAACTTGAAACTTGACTGTTTGTGTGGTTTAGTTATTGCATCAGCTTGAAGTAGCTTCTTCACCAGCTTAAAGAGACACAGCCCTTCTGAGCTCACCATGTTCCCGTATGAGTTAAAGATGTCCATAGAAAATGCATCCACCTGTGGATTTCTGATCAATGGAGCATTCTGTGTATCCGTTCTTAAGAAAATTATACTACACCTTTTTGGGTTTAGCTGGATTGATTGAATCTTTATTGAGCCATTTATAAAAATGTCCCAGCAGGATTGGGTAGGATGTGTGGTTTGGGTAGACTATATGAACATTATTAATTCCATACAGTCAGCTGGAATATGTGAAAAGGAGGATGGAGGATGGTATGATAATACCTCAAAGATACTCTAGAAGCAGGTTTTACTGAACATATTCTGCCAGCTAGTGCTTCTGGACTCCTAAACCAAAAACAGGAGTATGTGCTAAACAAAACAAAATAAATCTGAAAAAAACCTGAAGTTGTGAACAATGTCAGAAGATATTAGAAATCCAAAGGCTACCATGGCTTGGGTCCAAATTCTGAGTTTTAGTGTCTGTCCAGGAAGTGGAAGAGGGATAGGAAGTGAGGGTAAAGACTTGCATTTTAAGTCTGCTTTATCCACATATGTTTATGCCTTTCTGTAATTCATACCTTCAAAACTAATTTAGGAGATAACACTCTAACATGCATTAGGCTGTATCTCACTTTATTGGAAGAAAGAATGATTTATTCTCACATATCACACTCCCTGAACAGCTAAATAGATTACCAAAGAGTTGAACACAAAAAGAAGAAACTTTTAAGATTTTTAGGTGTTAACATCATTATTATCCAATGAATTTGGAGGTTCAAGTAAATGTTTTTCCATCTGGCTGTACATGCACACCTGCACCCATAGCCATGTTTTGCAGCATCTTCAGACAATGAAAATAATAAACATCTTTCTTCAGTTTTGTCTTTAGTCATGTTGCTTTTTATCTGATCATTTTTAGAGAGCCACATTGTCATTGATTCAAGTAGGAGTAGTTTGTCTGTTTTAACCCAACCTCATGCTGTGTTGCTGTCAACACTGCTATGCATGTTTCTCTAATCAGCCACATGAAGTATTCATTGTCTATCTTCTGAAACACTGCATCGTGAGTACAGGGGCTTGTGCTGGTTAAAAAGGGAAGGTGTGGGGGTTTATCTCCTGCTTGTCCTGTTTGTTGTTGAGTACTATCAGCTTCTGTTAAGTCTAGAGCTGCATTTCTGGTTTTTACTGAGGCAATGTGTAGCACATTTCTCCATTTCTCTCTCCCCACTTCATGTTCTATCCCACAGTGTTCATAATGTTTCCATGCAAGACAAGAACAATTTGTGATGTTGAGATTATAAACCATATGGTACAGGCAGTAAGTCACACATGCTTTCTCAGTAGCCAGGGATTGCTGGCTGTGAAAGACACGTATAGCATTACATTAGTTTCTGTCCTAAGAATTCTAGTCACAGCCTCATAATTTTGTAACAAAAAAAAAAAAAAAAAAAAAAAAAATATAAAAAAAAAAAAAAAAAAAAAAAAAAAAAAAAATAGCAGCAAGAGGAATGAAGTGTAGTGTTGTACAAGTTTAATTAGACTGAATATTTATTTTAACTCATTACTACTTCCCTGATTTCTATTATAATTCCTGTTCTGTCCCTTTATGGGCTCATGCCCATCATACTGTGACAGTGGAGGAAGTTTTTCACAGTTAAATCTAGTACAAATGTTTTATTAGTTCAAATCTCATTATTGCATTCTCTTGTCTAATCAAGATAAAGAATCTGCCATTAAGAATATAATCTTTTTTTCTACTTATAGTTACAACCATAAAAGCAATTGGTTCAAATAGTTCCTTTGCACTCAAGGTTCTTTTTTGAAACATTGATTACTCCTAATTGTCATTTCTCATCCATAATGATTTAAAATTGTGTCTTTCAGAGTCATGATTTTTGCAAAACAGTTCACATTACCCTGTCTGGAGAGTTTTGAGGTGATTGATTTTTCAAAGCATTGCACTGAAATCTGATTCATAGTTCTGACTCAATTAGCTGATTGACTAAAACACTGCACAATCTTTTAAAAACATAACTTTCATCAAAAGCTACAATTAGTATAAATTGTATTTCAAATGACATGTAGACTAGTCAGCTCTAAATATGTTTCCCATAAAATGGTGTGCTCCAAATTAGTTAGCCATTGCCACCTGACAAACAGCTTATAAATGTTTATTACATTACTGTTCAGTCTTTGAATTTTCTTTTCAGTACACTCATAACTATCCCCAAAATGACTGTCATCCCTTTGAACAACTATGAAGTTGGTTTCAGCAAAGTTCCTTTAATATATTTGTTTACTAGAAAGAAATATTTATCTTCAGTTATGAGCTGAACCTCTTTCTTCACCATTGCCCTCTTTTTTACTGTGCCTCTATTTTACTGTGTCTTCTGCTCTTAGCTTTCCTTTTAAATATAATACCAGAAAATAAAAAAGAGAGTTTGTCAATTCAAGTCAACATGCATGCTGAGATGTCAAAAGGCATATGCATAAATAACTCTGCTTTGTGGATTTTATGCAAAGTATTGGCATGTATTTGCATTCTAGTATCAGTGATTCAGGCAACTTCATACCAGCTATCTTCATCTCTACTACAGTAGCGATCTGAAAAACAATCAAAGTGAAAATTACTCTATTCAGACAAACCGCTTCAATCCATCTTTTATCTTACCTTTCAGAACCTTGGTCTGAAAAAGAAAATTTCACCTACATTTCTAAGCATTTACTCTAGGTTTATATTGTATTTCTAAAATATCAGACTAGCCACAGAAAGCAATGTTATTAATTAACTAAACTTGTGCCGAGGAGAAAATCCACTCTTATTCAAAGAAAAAAACCCTTCCTTCATTTACCCTAAATCTGAAAATGCAACTCTGAAAGAATCTACAAACAGGATCTTTGACTTTACAAAGGTAGGTACTTATGAAAAAATAAATTTGTGCACTTGTGAACTTTCCAATTATATAATGAATCAATAACATGACTGATGAAACTGTGTCCCAAAACTTACAAGATAGAGAAAAGAAATATTATTTTTCATTTCTTACACTCCTATCTTTTGTGAATAGCTTTATTCTCTTAAAGATATTGCGTAGGTTTGCTTATTTCTGATGAAATAAAAATGGTGGAATAATTTAAATGAAAATATTAAAATATAAATCATGATTATAAATAATCAATTTTTCAAAGTGGACTTTCCATGAAGTTATCTCTGTGCTATTCCATTTTAAAATGACAGTATTCACAATAAAGAGCTTAATCCATGAAATATTTTTAGCTTAGGCAAATGTCTTTGCCCTTCTGAGCATCCTTCCTACTCATATAGTAACTCTGCTGTCTTGTAAATAGCGTCTGTGTCTTAGAACCTCTCTTGCTCCTGTAAGAAGATGGAATTCAAGATCCATCTTTAACCAATTATTCACAGTCATGTAGACACAATGAAAGACACACGAGCCTGTGAATATCAGTCAAAATGTCTTCCAAGAAGGCTGCTGTGAATGTTTGTGTTTCATAGTATATTTGATGGGTGATAAGTTCAAAAGGAGAAAAATTGATTAAAGTGTTCAAGAACCTTCCAAATGTCAAATAGGAAGTAGGAGGATTTTTTGGTAGCTGGTCATTAGGCATTTCACTAGCTCCTGAGTGAGCTCAATCTACTTATGTTCACAGAAATTATTACAGCTTTAGTTAGAAATGATACATCAGTGTCATTTTCTTGGTGATAAGGAAAAAAATGAAAATTGTTTAACATAATAATATGAATTAGGTTTATGTTTCATCTGATTCAGTCTGTATCAGGTCAATTTTTAATCCTGGCACCTATATAGAATCAAGAACTTTTTTTAAGAATGTAGATTCTTCACATAAACATTCTGATATCTTTGTTGTTTATGGTTTTTTTTTAATTTATTAACATTTGGAGGCTAAATATTTTCCACTAATGCTTCAAAATGAATAATTGATTTGACTGCTATGGATGACATTGCTGTTCACATGGTTTTTTTAAATTTTATTTTTATTTTATTTTATTATAGTAAAGATGATAATGAGGTATTTATATATTACTATAGTAAGACCATGGGTGGTGCCTACAGAGATGCTTCCATGGTTGCATAAGTAATAGATACTTTATTTGGTTTTATCTGCTAGACTAATTAGTCCAGCTAAGGATATCTTAGGTAATATTTGGTCTGAAGTGTCACGATAAATAATGGGGCAGTGCTTATTTGCTAGTGTTGATAATCTGATTATCTGTATTTCTGTTTATTTCCTTTGTTGTTAAGGAGGCTATCCAGAACTGAAGGAAGTATACAATATTTTTAATTGTGAAATAATTTTATTTAAAAATATTTCACTAGTTGGTTATTTTAAGTCTTATAAATATACTCCCCAGATTTTTCTTTTCTGCTTCAGAGAAACAGAAATTGATTTGGTTTATATCCTCTTTGAAAAGGGGCTATTTCTACTGCCTCCAAAGTCTGCGTGATTTTTTTTTGTCCCCAGTTCTTTCCTATTATTTTACTTGCAGTCTTAATTAGTAGTTTCACAGCGTGTTCTTCTAGAAGTGGCATAAAAATAAGTCTCTCCATCTTAAGTGTAAGAATAATTTTCCCTTTTTTTATAGTTTATGAATGGCATGCTGCCTGGTGCAAGTTTGAAGAGTCCTGATACGGATTACAGCCCTGCCTGCTGAAGCAAAGCAATTTGAGAAGTACTCTGGGAATAAAAGATCCAGTTAAGATGGCTCCACTTAGAGATCTAAAAATGAGTTGGGAGAAAAATTGTTGCTTCGATGATGGTAGGAACTTTTATATTAACAATACTTTCATCCTGAAGCTCTTTTATTGCATAGATTGGAGCTCACACTTGAAATTTGTCAATCATGTCATGTTGGTAGCACACACGTGCTCTATATTAGTGTAAAAAACTCTTTAGGCAGTTACAAACCATTAAAAAAATCCTACTGTTTTTATACTCAGAATGTATAAAAGGTAGTACATACAAGGGAGATTGCTATTGAACATGATACATAGTTTGATAATACTTCAATATCAGAACTATAAAAAATTATCTGCCTGCCCAGAGTTATAGCTTCTTAGAGCTCTTCTTGTGAGCTGGTCCCTACACATGGTTCTGTAAAAAAGCACCTGGATATGCTCCAGGCAAGGTCTGCACGGGCCTGGTTTTGAGGGACTGGAAGTATCAGCAAAGCATACCTTGTAGAGAAAAATAGACTCTTACTATACAGTTGAGAGGTGGACAGAAGAGAGAAACTTTTTGATGTCACCAGCACTTTCTTCATAGACTGACAGAACCATAGAGTGATTTGGGTTAGAAACGACCTCAAATGTCTCATTCCAGCCTCTCTGCCTTGGGCAGAGACACCTTCCACTAGACCAGGTTGCTCAGGGCCCCAGCCAAGCTGGCCTTGAACACTTCCAGGGAGGGGACATCCACAGCTTCTCTGGGCAACCATTGCCAGTGCCTCACCACCCTCACAGCAGAGAATTTCTTCCTAGTATCCAATCTAAACCTACTATCTTTTACTTTAAAATCATTCCCCATATTCATATCACTCCATGCTACTGTAAAAAGTCCCTCCCCAGCCTTCTTGTAGGACTCCTCTAGGTGCTGGAAGGTTGGTCTGACACTGCCAAAGAACATCATCATTCTGGCAGACAGGGACCTTTAGATGTCATTGTTTTTTAAAAGGATGCAGTTAGTTGAGGGGGAGGGGGGTCCCTTCTGGGACTTTGGTTGAGACAATTAATTAAAATAGAAATTAGGAACTTAACAAAGAAACTCAAATCAATATTTCTGTGTATATCCGTAGGTGGGAGTCACAGCTACAGCAGCTTGAAACAAATAATATTTAGTATTTTTTCACAGTGATAGACAGCTTATGCAGAGAATATTCAGGGAAGTTGGAGCTTTGGAAGAAAGGAAGGATTCTGTAAATTTCCATGGAACAGCGTGTAACATTTCCCTTCCTAAGGAAACAAAGTACCTTCTGGATCTCTTCCCACATCCTGCTGTATATCAACAACTTTCTCTCAATTACCTTTTGGCTCCAGTGAATAAAGGGCTGCAATCATCCTTTTTAACAAGCCTTTAGAATGGCTCTTTTTTTTTCCAGATGATTTCCAACAATAAATGCAATTTAAACTTTTATGATAAAATTGTGGAAGAGCTTTAAAATAGCTCAGGTATTATTCTAGAGAAGATTATGTCATTTTTTCCATCAGCAAAAATGCAGAACTCATGCTTTAGTCTTTGTTTGCTGATAAGTAGAAAAGGAATTAGAAAATTAGTCAGGATTTTGATATTTAAAATGAATTATTTTCCTCTGTTTTACTAACTTTGTTAACTAGTTTTCATTTTCCAAAAGTATTTCAATTGCCAAATTTGACCTCTAGGTGTATGTACACTGTTCTAATGTGACTTATGTGTATAATTGAGAATAGAATTTGATTTATGTGTAAGTACTTCAGTTTACCTGACATGAACTGAGATAAAAATTTTTTATGACTCCGAAGCAGCCTTTTAAAATCTTTCTTGGGGTATTTTTCTTTGGAAGAAAAGAAATACCTCATAGTTACTTGTGGGCACTTAAAAAAAATATGAAAAAGTAAAATCCTTACTGATTTTGGTTCCAGTTTTAAATTCTTGAACAATGAGATTAAAATTTCACTTCTGCACTAGTTCTCATTTGGACAAGACCACAGCTGACTCTCACATACATATTCAAGGAACAATATTAGGAACAACTTCACTGATGTTGAACTTCCTTCTCTTCCTTCAGCAGAATTGAGCATAATTGCAGACATTCCTTAGGATATGGAGGAGTCCTTGAGCCTGCAACCATCCCCCTTTGGAAGCAGTGGGAATAGCAGCTGAAGGGCTCCCTTACATGTCTGTGACTAGCTGTCTTTTTCAGAGCTCCTGCTACAAATCTGTGATTCCCTCTAGAATTCCAACACATAACTGAGTAGAGTGGCCAATTTTGGTGGAATATGATTCTTCTTTGTTCTTCAGAATATTTATATGAGAATTATCCAGCTTTCACTGTTGTTGAGATCTTTTTCACTTCAGACTCATGCTCTTAGATAAGATTGGATGCACAGTACTTTTTACCTCTGCCAAAATAATACAAGGGCATGCTTGAGTTTCACTATGGAAAATAAATTAGTTGCAGGATCCTAATGGAGAAGCAAAAATGCAAGAGATTTGGAAGAGTGATAGCTGGAGTTCGTAATTATTTAAATCAATATTTTGGTAATGCAGGTCATGCTGAAGAATATGTCTCTGCTGCTGTTGATTAAATAGATGTACCTGCTTAGAAGAGTTTCTTAATTGACTGCCTACATTATCGTGTAATGATCCTGTTCAGTATTACAAAGTCCCTAGAGTTAAGTACTTTCTATAAAGATCTCAGAGTCATAGAATGATTTCCTGCTATGGACAGGGACACCTTCCACTACACCAGGATGCTCAAAGCCCCATCCAACCTGGGCCTCAAACACTTCTAGGAATGGAGCATCCCCAACTACTCTGAACAACCTGTTCCAGTGTCTCACCATGCCAGGTGGGTCTCACAAGAGCAGAGTAAATGGGGAGAGAAATATCTTCCAGGGTGAGGCAGGCTGGCCACACTTCTTTTGACTTAGCCCAGGATACAGTTGGCATTCTGGGCTGCAAGAACACATTGCCAGGTCATGTTCAATTTTTCATCCACCAGCACCCCCAAATCCTTATCCTCAGGGCTGCTCTCAATGCTTTAATCTCCTATCCCATATTGATACTGGTGATTACCCTGACCCAGGTGTGGGACCTTGCACCTTCCCATGTTGAACTTACTGAGGTTTGCAAGGGCCCTCTCTTCAAGGCTGTCAAGATCCCACTGGATGGCACCCTTTCCCTCAGGAGTAACAGCTGCACCACTTAACTTGGTGTCATTTGAGATTAATTACCTGCTCTAAACTCAGACACTGAAAAAAGAAATTTGGCTTTAAACACTGTGTTGTTTTCTAGATAGGTAGTAAATGGATCATAGCAATAAACTTTGTAAGTTGTGTTACCTTCCTACAGTCTTCCCATTTGACATTGTGAATTGTACTCATTACATAATGTATTATTATTCCCAAGTTAACTACAATTGCAACCTCTCCTGTGGCCTCTTTAGACCTGTGAATAATTTTTACAACTATGCCATTTCTCAGGGTGTAGCCCTGTGATGGGATATCTTTACCACCAAGGCAATAAATCCTGCAATTTACTGGCATCACTGCATCCACAGTAATGTCCCCTTAGTGGTAATTACAGGCTTAGGTAATAAGTAGTAAAACAATAATTGATGTGTGTACTTTAGTCTACTAAATCAGTCATCCTTTAGAAATTATTTCTCTGTTACAATCAGGGAAGAAAAACATAAAGTACTAAAACAGATTGAAAATAAAAATGTGTTGGCTCAAATTTGACCTTTACTTTTAGAGACAGATGCACATGTTGATATTCAGGGATCTACCAGAGAGTACCAGAGCAGACCCAACAAAGCAAAGGTAGGAATTCCTACAAGACATTCCTGTAGCAGCATGAAGTATCCCAAATCTTGGGCTCCTCAACACAAGAGAGACATATTGCTCCTGGAGCAAGCCAAGTGGAGGGCAACAAAGATGATTAAGGGACTGGAGACTCTCTCTTATGAGAAAAGGCTGAGAACATGAGGCTTTTCAGTCTTGAGAAGACAAGAACAAGAGCAGACCTCATTGATGTATATAAGTGTCTGAAGGGTGGGTGTCAAGAGGATGGAGCCAGGCTATGCTCAGTGATGCCAAGCAATAGGACAAGAGCCAACAGGCAGAAACTGATGCAGAAGTAGTTCCACCTGAACATGAGGAAGAACTTTACTGTCAAGCTGACCATGGACTGTAAAAGGTGGCCAGAGAGGTTGTGGAGCCTCCCTCATCAGAACCATCACCACCAAGAACCATCTTGGTGCAATTCTCTGCAATGTGCTCTAGGATGGCCCTGACTGAGTAGGAAGGTTGAACCAGACCACTGTCATCTTTCGCAATCTCATCCATTCTGTGATTCTGTAAACAAAAAACTACAACAGTGTGCAAAGAAGAAAGAAGTGGCTTCTTCTTATCTAAACAAGTAAGAAATGTGGATGCCAATCCTGCTAGTGGTGCCTACACTTTAGTAGGCTTCTAACAGACCAGAGAATATTTTATCAGTTCTGTATTTTACAGTTCAAGATTTTAGCCTTAAGTAAAAAAATGGATTTTTCAAATTAATAAGAATAAAAGGAAACCATCATAGGCAGGAATGGTAAAAAGAATGAACATTTTATTTCTTCAGCTAACATGGATCACAGTATAAGAATATTGATTCTGGTGACTGTAGGCTATAAAAGATTAAATCTACTTCGCCCACTGGAGAAATTATAAATAAGTATCTCTGTGTAATATTATTAAGATAACAGTTTTGAATTAGTGATCCATTCAATTTTAGAGCATGTCTGAAGTGTTCAACAGCAAAAGCCTCCTGTGGGAGGGAGCCTGTGTTGGAACAGGGAAAGACTCCTCTGCCTGCAGTGGCAGAAGCAATGTGTGATGGACTGAGTAACCCCCATGCCCCATTTCCCTGCCTCTGCAGGGGCAGGAGGGAGGGGTGTAAGGTCTTACTTTATTTCACATTATC